TTCCATGTCTATGCGTGCACTTACCATGCTATTTATGTTTTAGTTTGGACCTGTCCAAACTCGGAAGTCCAGTCCCTGACTTCCTTTCTGTTCTTGCTGTCTGTCTTACCTCTCAAGGGTATATATCCCAAATAGAACCTTCCCTGCCCAGCCATCTGCTTCTTCACCAGCAGTACACAGTGCCAACCTTGGGTAGACTGCTCCGCCACATATTCAGGTCCCTCTGATCTCATAATTTCTCTTGACTCCCACATCCATTTCACCAGCAAGTTTTTTCATCTCCAGAATATGAAGTGACTCCTTCATTTCTGCCTATTTTTATCTTCGTAACCTTGAGCTCTTCAGTTCCTGAGCCATTCATCTCTAGTCTTACAAACCGTTCTTCATGTTGCAGTTCTAACCTTTAGAGAATGAGTCATTTGTGCCCTGCAGCTCCGCAGACCCTGCTGTGTGTTACATTGCCCTTTAACTAAGTCCAGACTCCTTCCCGAGTCTTCTGCTCCCTGATACTTGGTGTCTGACTTGTTACTTCCAAGACATGTCAAGACCGATTTACTGTCTTGATTACTCAGTCCTGGATCTTGCTCTTTAGCCTTCAAACAAGGGCTTTAGGAGCATTTTAAAAAGACAGCTTTCTAGCCTTCTTATCCCGCTCCATTTTCTTCACAGTGTGTGCCCTGCCCAAAATTTTCTTGTTTGTTTGCTGACTTGTGACTGGAAACACTTGTGTTTTCTCCACAGACTGTAAATTCCTCGGGAGCCAGACTCCTGTCTGTCTGGCTCTGTGCCATATTCTCAGCATCTACAATGATGCTTGATAAATATTTTGCTGAACAAATGAGCATTTAAGGAGAGAGATGAAATAAGAGCTGCTGGGAGGGGACAGGCTGCCTCAGGAGTTAGTTGGTTTCCATCTTTGGAAGTGCTCAGGGAGACACTGAAGGCTCATTTCTGGAGCAAGCATGTTTCTTTACCTTTGTGTCCAAAGCAGCCGAGGAATGTGACATGTTTATGGGTAGCACAGGTTCTGGAGGGGTGTAATTCTCATGGGGCAGCTTATCTGACCCTGGACTTGGTAAGTAGCCTTCAGAAAACTTCCCGGGTTATTCTTGGAGGCTCTTTCTTTCCAGCACTCCTGTCTCCCACCACTTCTAGGACAGTGTCCTGCTTTGCTTTGTGTTGCTGTTGTAAACACTGGGACCAGTAGCAACTTGGGGAGGAAAGGGTTTGTTTTGGCTTACATGTTATAGCTCGTCATCAAGGCAAGGCAGAGCGGGAACATGGAGGTAGGAACGGAAGCAAGCAATGGCCGTGTAGGACTGCTCTTTACTTACTTGCTCTCCGTGACTTGCTCAGCCTGCTTCTTATACAACCCAGGACCTGGGGTAGCATTGCCTGTAGTGGGCTGGGTCCTCCTATATCAATCATTAGTTAAGAAAATGTTGGAGAGACAGCTTAGCAGTTAAGGAATACTGATTGCTTTTCCAGAAGACCCAGGTTCAATTCCTGGCATCCACATGAACTGCTCAACAGCTGTAGCTCCACTTCTAGAGGGTCTGATGTGCTCTTCTGGCTTCCTAGGGCACCAGGCACACAGTGGTAAATACATATAATACATTTTTTAAAAGGAATGAAACATGATTATTTTTCACAGACATGCCCACGATTATTCTGGTGGAGGCAATTCCCCAGCTGAGGTTCTCTTCTCTCAGCTGACTCTAGTTTGTGTCATGTTGGCAAAAATCTCAGCTGCTTAGGCTTTTTCTGCATCAGTAGGGTGTTGGGAGGGGAGGTGGCTCAGCATTAGCATGGGCTGCTCTTCCAGAGGACTCAGGTTCCATTCCCAGTACCCACATGGTGGCTCACAGCCATTCTTGTGACTCCAGTGCTGGGGGATCTAATGCTATATACTAACCTTGGGCACCAGGTAGACATGTGATTTTTGTGTCCATGTAGGCAAGACATCCATACACACAGAATAAACAATTTTTCAAAAATGGGTGTTGGTCTGGATGACCTCTGTACATTGGGTGTTTGTGGGGTTGATTTGTGCACCGTTACTGAATTTGAGTTATTCTGGTCATTGTAGGGTTAGCATCAGTCTGTGGCTATATCCTCCTTCACAGAGCTTTTCTCTTGTTCTCTTATAGTTACTCCAAACACTACCTCATTTTCTACCCCATTGCTGTCAATAGTTCTGTATCTTTTTCTCTACAATTTCTGTTAGATTGCAACCAAGTAATCTAATATTTATATATAAAGATATAAACATAATAATTATATGTAAAAGTTAAAGTTGTAGAAAGAGCAATATGGAGCCTGAGCCAGAGCAGTTGCTGCAAAAGCATGAGGGCTTGAGCGAGGGTCCCCAGCCATCACAGGGAAAGGAGGGCATGCCACACATCTGTAGCCCAAACTGGGGGAAATTGGTCGGCAAACCCAGCTGAATCCATGGGCTTCAGGCTCAGTGAGAGACCTTGCCTCAAGAAATAAAGTGGGTGGACTGGAGGGATGTCTCAGCGCTTAAGATCACTTTCTACTCTTCCAGAGGATCTGAGTTTGGTTCTCAGGGCCCACATCAAGGTTCACAGCTGTGTGTAACTACAACTCCAGGGAATACAATGCCCTCTTTCTGGCTTCCGGGAGCACCTATATACACAGGTCAGACAGAGACAGAGCCACAGACAGACAGACAGACAGACAGACACACACACACACACACACACACACACACACACACACACACACACACACGCTCCTGCAGTAAAAACAAATCTTTAAAAAAGCTAGGTGGGGTGTGAATGAGGAAGATTCTGAATTCAGCTTCTGGTCTCTACACATGTATGTGTGCACCTACCTGTATTATGAACATATACATGAACATATACATACAACACTACAGACACATAACAAAAAGAGACCTGGAATGAGTCTGTGCTTTTGGCTTCTTTTCACTCAGTAAAAGTCATTTACCTGATTCTGAATAATTGCATAGGATTTCATTGCAGGTCTGAAGGATAATTATTCCTTTTGATGACATTTGGACCATTTCCTTTTTTCTTTTTTCTTTCAAATTTACAAACATACTATGTTTTGTTAGACACATTAGTCAAAAAGATAAAAACAGTTTTAAGTATTAAGTAGTATTGCCAGTTGCTTTCCCCAAAAGATGGTCTAGCCTGACCTTTCGCAGCAAGATTTTAAGTGGATCCCTGACTTCAGTCAGTGTCCTTCATAAAGATCATTGCACTTCCGTGGGTATTTCTGTGCCTAGGGTGATGGAAACTGTTGCTATGGTGATGGATTCTGGAGCGCTAGTCTGGTCTTTCTCCTCTGAGTGGCTGCTGCTTTGTTAATGCTGGAGTGGGTGCTAGCCTGAAGCAGGTGTGACTCTTTGTCACAGCCATAAAGGTATTTGAGCAGAGAATACCCCTGGAGCTGCTTTTCATGTCTGGGTGGCTGGCTGCTGCCTTGTTAGAGACTTGAGGGATACAGAAATGTGGCGGGAGAGATCACTGTCAGGAGTCTCGTGGTGGGTCTTTGCAGTCTTTTGAGGTGGATAAGCAGCCACTAGAGCTTTATATCAAAGGTAGATATTTATAGTACGAGGTCTGCAAGGGCGAGCAGCTGTATTTGTAATCTCCACCATGTATTATGCATGCCTCTTGTAGAAATGTTTAGTATTTCATAGGGTTGTCATTCAGCCCAGCTTTTGTTTCTACTGCATCTATAGCCCTGTGTAGGTGTAATTAGATATCTTTAAATCAACTAGATTAAGAGAGTTCTTGTGGCAACTCTGGGGTATCATTCTCCCCTTTATTTTTCCTTTAATAAATAATAGTTAAGATTGTAAAAGAGAGCCAGGCGGTGGTGGCGTATGCTTTTAATCCCAGCACTTGAGAAGCAAAAGCAGATGGATTTCTGTGAGTTTGAGGCCATCCTAGTCTACAGAGGGAGTTCCAGGACAGCTAAAGCTACCCACCCACCCACCCACCCACCCACCCACCCACACACACACACACACACACACACACACACAAACCCTGTCTAAAAAAACCAAAACCAACCAAACAAAAACATTGTAAAAGTATATAATTTGATATGTTCTTCATTTAGTTTTTGCAGTTTTCATTGTATGTATGTATGTATGCATGTATGCATGTATGCATGCATGTATCAGGGTTGTTGGTAAGTGCCTTTACCAGTAAGCTATCTCACAGCCCTATTTTTAGTTTTAGTTTCTTGAGACAGTTGTCTCATGAAGTTCAGGTTTACCTTGAGCTTGCCGTGGAGTGGAGGGTGATGTTGAGTGGATCCCCTTCTCCATGTACCTGGAAAGTGCTGGGGTTATGGGTATGCTGCGTTATTGCCTAGCTTGGGATGAGTTTTAAAATTCTCTGATTTAACTACCATCCAGATCAAGACAGAGAACACTGTCATACCGTACAGGGTTCCTCTCTGTCCCTGAAAGATGAGAACCATTGTCCTGACTTATTTTGCTAGTTTATTTGTTATTATTTGCTTTTTTGAGTCGGGATCTTAACTCTGTAGCCCAGACTGGTGTCAAACTTGGGGCAGTTCTCCCTTTCCCTCTCCCCCACCAAGTTCTGGGACTACAGGTGTGTGACTGTTTTGTCTAGTTTTAAGGTCCTGTACGTATGAAATCATGTAGCATGTACTCTTTATGTCTGGATTGTGGCGCCTAACATATCATGACGTTTATTCAACTGTATCTAACAGAAGTTCCTTTTCATTGCCATATAGTATTTCTTTGTTTACATGCACTATATATAATTTCTGGTCTGTACTGTGACTAGACATGAAATGTTTCTAGCTTGGTGCACATTGGCGGCATCATTCCTGTGTGTGCCTCTTGGGTGTACATGCGCATTCTTTTTGTTAGAGGAGATTTTTCATCATGGGTTGTATTTGTATACTGATTAGAAATCACTTGTTTTATACTTCCAGATAGTGACTTTTGTGTTTTGTTTCTTACCCAGTTTGCTTGAGAATACAGATCAACCCCCAGAACAAGGCGGATTTCCAAGGCATCTCTCCAGAGCGAGCCTTTGCGGATTTCCTCTTTGCCAGCACTATCCTGCACCTTGTCGTCATGAACTTCGTTGGCTGAGCTGCTCCCATTTCCTTAGGCACGGAGTTGGAGGTTGGCAGAATGTAAGTGGTGATCACAGTCCTTGTCCTGTTGTGTTGATTTTAGCAGGTGAAATTAGAGGAGATTGGCTCTGCTCCTAGTTGGATGAGTTCTCAGAGTACTGTGAGATGTTTGCAGAATTTCCTGGAGGTTCATAATGGGCTTTATCAGCATGGCCATCAGCCTGCTGTTCTCAACAGTCTATTCTTAGTGTCCTGCAGATCATTAAGGTACAGAATACAACATATGTATTTTACTAGTAACTATGAATGAAATTAATTCAAAATTGAAAACTTTTCCTTTATTCTTGTTGTAGACAGGGTTTCTCTATGTACCCCAGGCCAATCTCAGGCTTGCAAGCTCCTGCCTTCTGGGATTGAGGTGTGCACACAAAGATTTTTTGTTGTTGTTTGGTTTTTCGAGACAGGGTTTCTCTGTGGCTTTGGAGGCTGTCCTGGAACTAGCTCTTGTAGACCAGGCTGGTCTTGAACTCACAGAGATCCACCTGCCTCTGCCTTCTGAGTGCTGGGATTAAAGACGTGTACCACCAACGCCCGGCGCACCCAAAGATTTTTGAAGAATAATAAATTGCAGGGTTTGCTTTTAGATTTGTTCTTGAAATTTTTTCCAATTTCGATAGCCATTTTTGTTAAATGTGGCCATTGTTACATGATTGGCATTCAGAGTAGTGTGAATGAGTAACAGTTGGTACTTACTAGTATGTGTCCCAAACTTAAATGATAAAGTTGGGTTAACTTGGGAGGAGATTTGGAGCCAGACTGATAGCATTTGGTTTATTTGCTTCATCTCTCGTTGGGCACTAAAGCCATGCCTGCCCCTCAAACAAACTTTACAGAATTCTGATAGAGAAACACAAGTGGGCCTAGATCCCTTTTGTAGAACTGAAAGCCTCTCCACCCTACCCCTTTCGTAGGTTGTATGACTTATTTTACCCTCTCCTCTTGTCTTACTTTCTTCTTGCTGTGGTAAGACATCATGACAAAGGCAACTTGTAGAAGAAAGTGGTATTCAAGGGTTTGCATCCATGATTGCAATGGTAGAGATCATGACAGCAGGGAGGCAGACTGGGTATTGGAGCCGTAGCTGAGAACTTAGATCTTGAGCCACAAGCATGAAGCAGAGAGCTAACTGGGAGTGGTATGGGCTTTGGAACCTCAAAGGCCACCCCAGTGACATACCTTCTTCAACAAGGCCACACCTCCTGATCCTTCTCAGACAGTTCTACCTCCTGGTGGAAGCATTCAAACACACAGGCCTGTGGCCATTCTCATTCAGATCGCCACACCTCTGAATTAGTCTTAAAGCTGTGGTAGGTACATGGATTTTTTTTCATACATGTATCAATATTGTTCCTTTTATATGAGAAAATGGGCCCAGGACAGCCCAGTAGCTTCTCCAGTTGCAGCGTTGTGTGGTTATAGAGAGTGGCCTCTGTCTACTGATGCTTTGGCCTGGTGCTTGTGCAACTCCCCAGTGAATGTCTGTGCTCTTTGTCTTTACACCATAAAGTTTAGGACTATTGTTTCTAGTGGTAGGAGAAGAGAATCTTAGAAAATAATAACCTTTTAGGGGAAATTATCTGAGGACCAATCTCATTGCACACTACGTGGGAACCTGTGTTTTGCACTGAAAGCATCAGAGCGCTCATCAGAGTGACGCATTGCAGAGTGCATGCAGTGATGAGGCAGTGCCCGCATTTCGTTTTCTAGCAGGAACTAGTCACTTGCTTCAAATGGCACGGAAATCCACCTTTAAAGAACCCTCTTTGTTTAGGTAAAACCTTCATTTTAGGTCGTGGTAACTTGTTGGGATGCTTTAGTCATTGAAAACATTTGAGAACCACTTCATCCTACCATCCTAATTCAGTTTCAGTCCCTGGAGACCTGATCTGCTCTCCATCCCTCCCTCATCCCTAGACAGTGCCTATAACACTGGAATGCAAGTGCAAGGAAAGGAAAGGAAATGCAAGGAAAGGAAAATGCCTTTAAAAGTGAACAGTTGAGACCTATATCTTAAAAAGTGTGAACAAAAAGAGGTTTCTATTGCTGTGAAGAGACACCATGACCATGATAACTCTTATAAAGGAAAACATTTAATTGGGGCTGGCTTACAGTTTCGGAGGCTTAGTCCATTTTTGTCATGGCAGTGTGCAGGCAGTCATGGTTCTGGAGAGGAAGCTCAGAGTTCTATATCTAGATCCACAGGCAGCAGAAAGTGACGCTGAGCCACTAGGACTGGCTTGAACTTCTAAGACCTCAAAGCCCAGCCCCAGTGACACTCTTTGTACAAGGCCACACCTACTCCAACAAGGCCACTCCCTATGAGCCTATGGGGCCCATTTTCTTTCAAACCACCGCACAGGGAATGTATTTCATTTGGTAGAGTGCTGTGGGTTCAGTACCAGCATTGCACAAACCAGACATAATGATACATGCCTGTCATCCCAGCACTCAGGAGGCTAAGGTAGGTGGGTTAGAAGTTCAAGTTCATCCTCAGCTGCATATGGAGTTAGAGGTCAGCCTGAACAACATGAGCCCTGTCTTAAGTAAGGTAAAAGACCCATAAACATATAGTTAAAACATAGCCTGATTAGTTTGTTAGCGGAGGTCAGAACAGAGTACTGTGAGGGACGGAGAACGGGGTGACTGTGCCTGGGAGAAGCAGTGATGAGTGAATCCCAGCTCCCACCGTTAACCATTTCCTTCGGATCCCCTGAGTGGAGCTGGAAAATGGAGCCCCCGGTGTTGACCACCTCGGGTTAGATTTGTGAAGGTGTTTTCTAGATGAGTTACTGTATGTATTTAAGAAGGGACAGAACACATTTCAAGGGTGTTCTCAAGGCTCAGAAAGATAGCAGATCATAGAAAATTATTTCCCAGTGCTGTCATGATTGGAGGAGGACTTGGCTTCCAAGAACTCAGTATTTCAAAATTATGACAAAACAGACAAAAAAGCAGGCTCAGCAGAAACGGAGTAGTGCAGATCATATTAACAGCCCAGGGCCACCTGCTCAGCTGGGAATTATGGGCTCAGAGAATGCAGAGTCTTCCAGTCCCAGATGGCAGTGTTCTGTCACTTTGGAGGAAACAGGCTCTTAGGAAAGGTAGGAAGCCTTCTCTGGGGAGCGCCCAGCCCGTTTTCCAGACGCCTTCCACCTGATGGCACTATGCCGTCCCGCACGTGTATTCTTACAGTGCCAAACATGTTAAACGTAGTTTCCAAGTGAGGCCTCAATAGTTAAAGTAACTCAGAAGGTAGGATAACCAAGTAAAACAAAACAATACCACTCAATGCTCTGAGAAAACATTTATTTATGAGACACTGTCAGTCTGCTTCCTTACTCCTATGAAATGAAATGTGGGCTAGATTCTCACGCCGCTGCTTAACCTTCTTAATTTCCAATCGAGAGTTGGGCATTTAAGAAATCTGCGATGTAGCTGGTGTTTAATTAGTTTGAAGCTGACATTTAAAACCAACAAGAAAAGGCAGATGAAGAAAACGGCATCGGCTGTAGAAAGCAGTGTGGTTGAGGGTTGCCGAGAGGAGCAGACAGTTCCCGCTGGATGCTGCTTTCCGTGCTGTGCAGTGTCGTTTATCTTCAGGTCCCCTCAGAAAGATGAGCTTGCCATTCCCATCTGTAGGTCAGGTGCTGAGAGACCCATGGAGCCTTGTGAGAAATCTTTTGTTTGTTTTGCCTTTAGACAGGGTCCCTGGGAGTTCAAGGTCATGTCAAACGAGGTCCTGATCCTCTGCCTCCCACATGCTGGGGTTACAACTACAGGCATCGCCCAGACCCAATGTCAGGGTTCTTTTTAATTTTAATTATGTATGTGTGTGTCTGTGTGGGTTTGTGCATGTTGGTGTCTACCTTGCCTAGCTACCCACCGCAGTCCATTTAGTGCTGCCTACACACTCACGGGACTGGGACATCAGCTGCAGCCGGGGCTACCTTCCAGCCTACATGTTACCCTCTAAGCTCTGCTGCCACCTAGTGGATGCACATTGGTGGAATGACCTAAGCTAGTTCCTTTCCAGTCATAGAAGGGCAGCAGAGGCTCAGGTGAGCTCAGATGCTCACCAGGGGTTGCTTTACATCCTGGCCAGCAGTGGGCAGTGCTGAGCTAGGAGCCCTCAGCACCACCCCAGGGTCGTGTTCACTGGGTTGCCCTTCCTGTCAGTTGCTGTTATTCTAGACCCTTTATTGCCTCCAACAGTGAGCCCTGCTGGCAGCAGTCTTTAATTTTTCAATTGATGAGTAGGTCCTGTATGATTAGTCTTAATAGTTAAAAATATTAATTGACTTTTAATTGGTGACTGAACTCTTTTGGTTGATCTTTTTAGGTAGAGAGAGACACAGATGTGTGTGTGTTTGTGTGTGTTCATGTGTGTGTATGTGTGTATGTGTGTGTATGTGTTTGTGTGTGTATGTATGTGTGTTTATGTGTTCATGTGTGTGTATGTGTGTGTATATGTGTGTGTTTATGTGTGCGTATGTGTGTGTTTATGTGTGCGTATGTGTGTGTATGTATGTGTGTGTTTGTGTGTGTATGTATGTGTGTGTGTTTGTGTGTATGTATTGTGTGTATGTGTTTATGTGTGTGTGTTTATGTGTGCGTATGTGTGTGTATGTATGTGTGTGTTTGTGTGTGTATGTGTGTGTGTTTGTGTGTATGTATTGTGTGTATGTGTTTATGTGTGTGTGTTTATGTTTGTATGTGTGTGTATGTATGTGTGTGTTTGTGTGTGTATGTATGTGTGTGTGTTTGTGTGTATGTATTGTGTGTATGTGTTTATGTGTGTGTGTTTATGTGTGCGTATGTGTGTGTATGTATGTGTGTGTTTGTGTGTGTATGTATGTGTGTGTGTATTGTGTGTATGTGTTTATGTGTGTGTGTTTATGTGTGTATGTGTGTGTATGTATGTGTGTATGTGTGTGCACTTGTGCAGCTTTGGCACGTGATCAGAGGACAGCCTATGGGAATGGTTTCCCTCCTTCCACCACATCGGCCCTGGGGCTGGAACTTAGCTTGTTGGACTTATCAGGTGTCTTTGCCCTGTTTTTAAATTCCTTTAAACTTATTTTCAGTTTTGTTTGAGACAGTCTCGCTCTGTGGTCAAGACTACCCTTGAACTCATGATCTGCTCCTTTGCCTCCTGAGTGTGGGATACAGGAGGTCACTGTTGTACCTGGCTCAGCTAGGCAGATCCTGCTGAGAATTCTGTTCCTGTCCTCACCCCCTGGTGACTCAACCCTAAGTCTCAGTCACCCACGGGGCTGCACAGGACCCTGGTCTCTGGGCGCTCAGGTCCACAGTGCACACCTCTCACATCTGCATTTGTCACGTGGTTTTAAATCGTTCACTCGGGACCTTAAGGCTGATGGCAGGCCTCAGTTTCCCTGCCTGCACAGTGAGGAGCTTGGCCTTCATGACTGTTCTCACTGATGTCGTTATGATGGTCACTTTTGTGGATCATTTGGTTTTGCTTTTTACTCACATTCCCACAGTCTGGTCACTGAAGGCGGAACGTTGAAGTGGGATTGCTCAGAATTATTGTGCAGGGTTACAGAACCACCGTCTGTAAAATGCTTGCTGCTGCCATCCCCGCATTTCCCGGCTTCTCGTTTCTCCCATAACCACCTTTACGCCAGTGCATGCCATTTTTTTTGCCTGCCCTGTGGTGGGGAGACGGAACCGCAAACTTACTTTATACCTGGCACTAAATGACTTGTCCTTGGCACTAAATGACTTGAGTGGACTCTTCATAGTGGACGCCCGGAGCCTAAATGCAGTGTGTGTTGTTCACTCTTTTCAAGAGCTTTTGAGTGATGATTGTAAATACACACATAAATATATAATTATAAGTTAAATTAATTGTATTAAATATAATTAATATAACATATAATATAAAACATATCTATATAATATAGTACATATATTATACATACATATTATATGTATGGTATGTATATTGTTAGATTGTGTTTGCTAAAATATCTTAAACTTGCTGTTTTCTTTTTCGATTTCAAGGCAGATTTATTTTCTCTGTGGCTTTGGAGGCTGTCCTGGAAGTAGCTCTTGTAGACCAGGCTGGTCTCAAACTGGGATTAAAGGCGTGTACCACCACCTTTCTTTTTTTAAGTGGGAAAATTGAAGAGAGAAACACAGACCCTTAGAAGTTTCTGTAAAGCCAGGCATCATTACTATGGTAATGAGAGCTATACGGGAATGCAGACTGGGAGACTTGACTTCATCCAGTGAGGGTGACCCTGCGTTGGCACCTTGTTCTGGTCTGCGCTACCTACGGCAGTGGCCACTAGTCATGTGATTGATGCTGGTTGATGGACATCTGACTCGCTAACCAAGGAACTAAATTTTAATTTCCTTTTTATGTTTTTAGACAGGTTTTTTTCTGAATCCTTGGCTGGCCTTGAACTCAATATATGGCCAATGAAGACCTTGAACTTCTGATCCTCCTGCCTCCACTCCCCAAATTCTAGGGTTATGGACATGTGCCTCCATGCCTAGTTTTATGGAGGCTAAGTCTCAAACCTGGGGTTTCATGTATGCTACATAAGTACTCTGCCAACTGAACTATATCCCCAGCCCAACCCATAATTTCACCTAATTTTAACTAAATTTAAATAAGTCTGTGTAGCTACTGGCTACTAGGTTGGACAGCACAGCTCTGGATAAAATTTCCAAGCTATCAAGGTCTATTTTGTCATTTCTAAGATGAGAGGATTAGTCTAGTTGATTTCTGGAGTGTCCTTCATTTTTAGAAGTTACGATCTGGGCCTTGTAACATTAGAGTGATTCAGACTGAACTCTGCCCCTGGGAGTTTTGCACAGTAGTCTTTGATTTATGTCACCCCTAGTCCCAGTTTTAATTGGGTAATCAGAATCCAGGGAAGGATGGATTTGATGGCAGCTGTCCAGATAGTGTCTGAGTAGAGAGCATGCTGGGAAAGAGCCCATCCCAGGAGGCGGGCTGCCTGGCGTTACCGAGTTCATCTCTGTAGACAGTGTATTCCTCATCGTCCCTTGTACTTGACCTTGCAGATCAGGCCGGGCAGATGGCACCCCCATTTTGGTGTCTCACTCTCAGGGAGGAGTTTGTGGCAGTTTTTGATAGCCTTTTTTTTACAGTTGAAAAGGGCTCTTCTGAGTTGTCCACTGGGCCCAGTTGTGCTGAGCTAACATTTCAGAAATCCCGAGGCCTCTCTTGTCAAATACATCTCGCTAAATACATCTTCACTGGAAAAGAAGGGAACTGCTCTTTGGGAGTTGGGTTTCTGAAAACTACTGCCAAAGATGCTTTCTTTCCTCTCTATGTGGGCTGGCCTTAGTGTCTCAGGTTCAAGTGTTTCAGAGTCAGAAGTCCACCCAGCTCAAAGTAGCAGCCCAGTCACTTCCCATCTTACCCAGAGAGCTGACTTTAAGTAAACAAGAAAGCACTTCTAATGACTCTGGCCCTTTGTGAAGTTTTGAGGAATCTGACTTTCTGTATTGAGTCTGTCCTCAAATTGGACATATGTGCTTTGTTTGCAGGATGCCGATGCTGGTGTAGATGCTGATGCTGGTGTAGATGCTGATGCTGGTGTAGATGCTGATGCTGGTGCAGATGCTGATGCTGGTGTAGATGCTGATGCTGGTGTAGATGCTGATGCTGGTGTAGATGCTGATGCTGGTGTAGATGGTGATGCTGGTGTAGATGGTGATGCTGGTGCAGATGCTGATGCTGGTGTAGATGCTGATGCTGATGCTGGTGTAGATGGTGTTGCTGGTGTAGATGGTGATGCTGGTGTAGATGCTGATGCTGGTATAGATGATGCTGGTGTAGATGCTGATGCTGGTGCAGATGCTGATGCTGGTGCAGATGCTGATGCTGATGCTGGTGTAGATGCTGATGCTGGTGTAGATAGTGATGCTGGTGTAGATGATGATGCTTGTGTAGATGGTGATGCTGGTGTAGATGCTGATGCTGGTGTAGATGATGCTGGTGTAGATGCTGATGCTGGTGCAGATGCTGATGCTGGTGCAGATGCTGATGCTGATGCTGGTGTAGATGCTGATGCTGGTGTAGATGATGCTGGTGTAGATGATGCTGGTGTAGATGCTGATGCTGGTGTAGATGGTGATGCTGGTGTAGATGCTGATGCTGGTGTAGATGGTGATGCTGGTGTAGATGATGCTGGTGTAGATGCTGATGCTGGTGTAGATGCTGATGCTGGTGTAGATGCTGATGCTGGTGTAGATGGTGTTGCTGGTGTAGATGGTGTTGCTGGTGTAGATGGTGATGCTGGTGTAGATGGTGATGCTGGTGTAGATGGTGATGCTGGTGTAGATGATGCTGGTGTAGATGATGCTGGTGCAGATGGTGATGCTGGTGTAGATGGTGATGCTGGTGTAGATGCTGATGCTGGTGTAGATGCTGATGCTGGTGCAGATGCTGATGCTGGTGCAGATGGTGATGCTGGTGTAGATGGTGATGCTGGTGTAGGATGTTGAGTGCCGATGCTGATGCAGGCAGGATGCTGTGATGGAGAGTTGGAGGCCGGTTTCTTCTGCTCCTCACTTGCTGCCATTTTGGTGAGCTTGGAATGTAGGTGTGGGCATTGTCTTATCGACACCACTCACACACTCTCGTGAAAACAGCTGCCCTTATTCGCTTACTGCAGTCTGCCTGAAATGCGTCTGGTGCTCAGGATGAGTGAGGGCCATGGCTGTCCCACGCTCTGGTTTACAGTTTAGATGAAAGCCTTGGGACGTGACATTTCACCCTTCTGCTTCTGTTTTTCAGGTTCACTCTTTGATGTCCCCGGATAAGAATTCTTGAGATGACAGCTTGTTGAACATTGATTCTTCGGATCTGTGCTTAACTGTGGCCTTGACTGGGTGTGAAATGGGGAGCCCAGAGACCCTCCCTTTGCTCCGTCAGACTGGCTTTACAACGTGTGTCTGTTAACACGGAGTCTGCCTTCCCCAAGTGTAACCCTTACTCTCCAAATTAAACAAAGTTTCTCTGCCGTTCCTCACCATGCCTCTGACTGCCGTTTTTCTTCTCACACTTGTGTGAAGAGCGTCACCCTTCAGCTCTGTGTGCTCACAAGCTCTCCATGAGATGCTGATGTGCCACTGTGGACCTTCACCTTTGTTTTCATTAAGTAGCTGTCATTGAAGTTAGCGACAAAAGACAGTGCTGACAACCTGGAAAATGGCAGTCCTTTGTCCTTTTGCTGGATCAGTTAATCCTCTACTTGTCCGTCATTGTCTGGAACTGCACCACTAAGCACTTGTCAGAAACTGGACTGTGCATACTTTCACAGTACGTGTGTGTGTGTGTGTGTGTGTGTGTGTGTGTGTGTGTAGAGAGAGAGAGAGACTGACCGTGTGACTGTGTGTGTCTGTGAAGTCAGGCAAGTGTCTGTGTGTATTGTCTGTCTGTGTGACTGTGTGTATGAGAGAAGGTGTCCCTGTGGTATGTGACTGTGTGTTTGCCTGTCCATGGTATGTGCACATGCATGCGTGTTGATTTGCATCCCATGTTTTCCAAAGCTCCCCACAAGTCTCATTTCACTTGCAGTTGTCTTCAGAGGTCCCAGTCCTCATTAAGGGGGGAGGAAATGAAGCTCAGATTTGTGCTTAAGATCATGGGTCTTAGAAAAAACAGACAACAGAAGATCTCATTAAGGACAAAGCTTGCTTAGAATACAGGTCTGGCGGCTAAAGTCTAGGCATTGGGTGCCCAGTGAGCCCTGTGTCCATCTCAGGAGCAGCAAGTTTACCATATATGGGAGCTGCTTAGCAAATGACCTGTGCCACCGGAAGTCCTCCAGCGGGGCTTCACTAGCATAGCCTGGGGGACTCTGCTCCACTGCCTGGGTCACAGTGGGTCACTAGCATAGCCTGGGGGACTCTGCTCCACTGCCTGGGTCACAGTGGGTCACTAACATAGCCTGGGGGACTCTGCACCACTGCCTGGGTCACTAACATAGCCTGGGGACTCTGTACCACTGCCTGAGTCACTATGGGTCACACTGGGTCACTAACATAGCCTGGGGGACTCTGCACCACTGCCTGGGTCACTAACATAGCCTGGGGGACTCTGCATCACTGCCTGGGTCACACTAGGTCACTAACATAGCCTGGGGGACTCTGCACCACTGCCTGGGTCACACTAGGTCACTAGCATAGCCTGGGGGGACTCAGCTCCACTGCCTGGATCACTCTGGGTCACTAGCATAGCCTGGGGGACTCTGCACCACTGCCTGGGTCACTCTGGGTCACACTGGGTCACTAGCATAGCCTGGGGGACTCTGCACCACTGCCTGGGTCACTAGCATAGCCTGGGGGACTCTGCACCACTGCCTGGGTCACACTGGGTCACTAGCATAGCCTGGGGGACTCTGTACCACTGCCTGGGTCACTAGCATAGCCTGGGGGACTCTGCACCACTGCCTGGGTCACACTGGGTCACTAACATAGCCTGGGGGGACTCAGCTCCACTGCCTGGATCACTCTGGGTCACTAACATAGCCTGGGGGACTCTGCACCACTGCCTGGGTCACTCTGGGTCAAGTCAGTCTTTGGGGGTTACAGCTGGAGTCACCTAAGTGACTTGAAGCTGCAGCCAGGTTGGGAGGGTTGCTCGGGAGCTATTTGAAAAGGAAACTCCCTGGCCCTACCCCCAAGCGCAGAAGCAAATCTGTGTGTTTTAACAGGGTCCCGGGTGATTGTTGTGCACACAGAAGTTGCCACGCAGGCTGTCTGGAGCAGTGATTGCAGCCTCGGTGTATCTTGCAATTACTCAGGAGCTTGACAGAGCTTGAGCTTCCATTCTTTATTAGCTCTCCGCTTAACGAGGCATCCAAGGTTGAGGGTGGGTCTATACAGGGTTAGCAAGCTCTTTAGGAATGGCTGGTTCAATATAACGACAAAAACTGGCGTGGGTGCTGTGTATGGCCATGACATTAGAAACTGACTAAGATGACCAAGACACTCATGCACAGACATCATGCAGCTTTGCCATATTCGATAAATAGGTATTTCAAATAAGAAAAGTGTTCCAATTTCAAGAAAATCAGCCCGCTGGGAATGAGTAATAACTGTCAGGGAAGGCGTTGCAGCAGCCCCTAATACGCACGCAGATTTGCATTTCACAATGATTTAGAGCCACACGGGACAGGTACTGAGTTCCCAAGTATCAGGTTTGCTTTTGTCTCAGGGCTTGTGGTTTCCCTAACTTAGCCTTGCTGGCAGACACGTTTGGTGTGTTTTCCCATTCACAACATATGAAGCACATTACTCTTGGAGTCTTGAGTTCAGATCTGAAGATGCACCATAGGTTACTAATCTGCCGTAGGCTTCTTAGCTTGCTGTGTGGGTCTCCATCCCCTGTGTACAGGAAGACTAGCAGAGGATTCTTCCTCCGTGGTTAGGGAAATGCCTCATTCCCGCTTCCCCGCAGATCCCGCTTCTCAGGGCTGTGTTTTGCTGACTCAGGTGGAAGGCAGGGGCTTGCACTGTGTGGACCAAGGGATGGCCTGCCATTTCCTGCTGCATCTAGCCTGCCTATGGGGCGATTGAGTTTTCATTTCCTGTGCTCATTCTGGAGGGTGGCAAGCCACTTCCCGCCACCACTGTACACCGTCCCTTGCCCTCGGCAGCGAGGGGAGGCCAGGCCCTTTGTGCCTTCCGCCGCCGACACACTTCCTGTCTCCACCACATGGGAAAGTCTCTCTGGCCCCCTCAGAGCAGCCTGTACCCTTGCTCTTTGATCGCTCCCTTTAATCTGGGGCCACAAAACACTTACGATGGTCGGAAAATCGTGGGGAGGTGACAGCTCTGCTCCCTGGGTTGGCAGCACCAGCATCAGCTGGTTTCCAGCACCTGGGAGTGTCACACGCTCACTGCGACCCTGGTGGGTTGTGGCTCTGAGCCCTGAAGTCTAGACTACTGTTTGAGTAGCCCATGACTGTAAGGTAACAGCAGCTTGGAGAGGAAAGGGTTTATTCCAGCCTGCAGCCTGTAGGGCAGGAGCTGATGCAGAGGCCAGGGAGGGGCGCTGCTCACCGCTGGCTTTGGATGCCTTGCTCAGCCTGCTTTCTTAGACGGCGGGACCAGCAGGCCCCAGGGTGGCTCCACCCACAATGGTTTGCATTTTCCCTTATCAGTTATTAAGGAAATGGCCCACAGGCTTGCCCACTGGCCAATCTGAAGACTCTAGACTGTCAAATTGCCATAAAAACAAGCCAGTACAATACTACGGCTAATTTTAAAAGATTAACACAGAAACGAGTTTTCCCTGGGTGTGTGTGACCCTTTTCCTTGAACTTTAGTGAGAAAAAAATTAGAAGAAATCTTTTATTTTACTTGCTTAGTTTTGAATTTATAGATCTGAGTACACACAAAATTCTTTTTGGCATAATGTGGGCAGCTCAGTGTTGTGGAATGTGCTTGCATGATCTAAAATGTTGAACTGAGCTTGTGTTCTGTCACATAGTGTTTTTTTGAACCTCGGTGGGCCCTCTGTCTCGAAAATTCTGTAAATAATTAGGTGCCCGGCCTGTGCTCAGTAGGCACAGGGCAATAAAGATGAGAACTATCCTTGTGAGTGAGCCAACATGGAGTGTGTGTGTGAGTGTGTGTGTGTGTGTGTGTGAGAGAGAGACAGACAGAGACAGAGACACCAGTGTGTGTGTGAGAGAGACAGAGAGAGAGAGAGAGAGGAGAGAGAGAGAGAGAGAGAGAGAGAGAGAGAGAGAGAGAGAGAGAGAGAGAGAGAGAGAGAGAGAGAGAGAGAGAGAGAGAGAGAGAGAGAGAGAGAGAGAAGTGCCCCTGCCCATCTGCTGTTTAAGTTCTAGGACCCGTGAGGTTCTGGAGTCCCATGGGATGGCGCAGTCTTGCTGGGCGTCACTCCTCTCTGGCTCTAAGCAGTCGCGGTAGGCTTTTGGATGAGCTAATGAATAACGAGCGTGGGGTGAAGGTATTTCGTGTCACTGCCTCACAAACACACCTGTTCTCATGGAAACGAGCAGAGCCCCCACCCCAACTCTGCCTGGCGCTTGCTCCCTCAGTGGGGTAGTATCCCGCCTCGCTCGCCCAGCGCCTGGCCTGCGGGTGGGAGGGGTGCAGACAGATTGCAGAATGGGTTTTCTCCTTCTGCCAGGTAGGTGCGAAGTCAGGTCACCAGGCTTGGAGACTAGCACCTGCGACATCTTTACTGTCCTAGTTTTTGATTTTTAAAAAGCAATTTAAAAGGTTTTTTAACAGTTAAATAATTGGAGTTAAAATAGTACATTGTTTCCCCCTTTCCCGTTTCTCCCCCAGCCCCTCCCACATGCCCCGCCCCTCCCACATGCCCCGCCCCTGTCAAATTCATGGCCCCTTTCTTTGATTTTGATACAAATGTGTACATACATGCATGATTTCAGGACTGACCATTTGGTAGTTGCCTGTCCCTGGTTAGGTTGGGCCTGGGCGGTTCCCTCCTCCTATGCTGTCTATCTGTCTGTCTGTCTGTCTGTCTGTCTGTCTGTGCCATCTTGTCAGGTCTTGTGTTGGCAGCCATGTTGGTGAGACCCCATGGTGCAGCTCCTCTCACGTTTCTAGGAAAACTGACTGCCTGTTTCAATGCTTCTTAAAAAGCCTTTTGCCCCCTCCCCAGCTGTGTACGGGTGTGTGAGAGGACCTCTTTGCAGGAGCCCGTTTTCTCCTTCCGCCGGGTGTGTACTGGGGATCAAACCGAGGTCACCAGGGTTGACAATAGGTGCCTTTGTACAGAGCCATCTGCCAGCTTGCCTTTTGGTTTTTCCTTATCACCGAACTTTTGACTGTTAGGGTTGGCAAGATGGCCCGGTGAGTACAGACAGACACCTGCGCAGTCCGGGTGACCTGAGATTGACCCCTTGATTCCATGTAGAACAGAGAACCGGCTGCGCTGGAATTGTTCCTGACCCCCACATGCGGACCATGGCACCCCCAACCCTTCTGTCCCGAGGCGAGAACAGTTTGTACGCGGGGAAAACATTGCCTC